TGATGCCAGAGGCGATGATGGGGGGGGTGGACGCCGGCCTGACCACCTCTGACACCGTCCGTCTCAGCTTCACCTGCGGCTTCTGGGTCTCCAGCTCCTCCGACTCGGCCTTCTGCAAGGGGTCGGCAGGTGGTGAGGGCTCTGGGGGTCGTTCCAGGGCTGGTCTCTCCAACAGGGACCCGCTGGGTCCATCCCGTGGTTCCCTACCTTCATGAACCCGGGCTCCTTCTTGCTGGTGACGATGACCTCGCCGCTGCGGGTCGTGGTCAGCCCGTGGGAGGAGGGGAAGCTCCGGCGGGGAGGAGGAGGGGGAGGAGATTTGGAAGGTTTCTCGGTCCGGTATCGCGGCACCGTCAGCTCGTCTGGGCACAAACGGTGCTGTGAGGGCACGAGACCTTTCCCTGCCCCTCTCATACGACACCCGAGGCTCCCCTACCCACACACCTCCCCCCCTGGGGGGCAGCCCCACTGGGGACAGCACGGCCAGGGCACATGCAGGACCAGGCAGCCCCCGGGGATGCAGAGGTGGCTCCATGTCCTCCCCACCCTGTACCTGAGCCCCGGCGGCCGTTGGGGTCCCCTTTGCCCCCCGTTTTTGCTGCGTGCTGAGGCTTGGAGGGCTTGTGCTCGGGGGTGGAGGCAGCACTGCTGCTGCCCGTGGTTTGGTTGTGCTTGGCAGCGAGCTCCAGGTCGGGGATGGCCTTCATCAGCTCGGCCTGTGTCTCCTCCAGCAGGCGGTTGATGTCCTTGGCGCTGTACTGGGTCAGCGCCGCCCGCTTCTCCTCCCAGTCCCGCTCGGCAGCCTGTGGACCAAGAGGCAGATCCTGCTGCAGCCCCCCAGCCACACACCAGCTGTGCCCGCCCTTGCAGGCAGGATGTGACCCACAGCCCAGCTGTACCTCCCCAACCTCCTGCCAAGCCCAGGGGGGGTAGGGAAGGCCAGTGCTGACCCCTTCTCCAAGCTGTGCACCCCAACATATGCACTTGGGGGTGGCTCCCAAGGCTGCTGGCATCACCCAGAGCTCCCCACCCTCCAGAATCATGGAATAATTTTGGTTGGAAAAGACCATTAAGGTCATCAAGTCCAAGCATTAACCCAGCACTGCCAAGGCCACCACTAAACCACGTCCCTCAGCACCACATCTACATGCTTTTTAAATCCTTCCCGGGATGGTGACCCCACCACTCCCCTGGGCAGCCTCTGCCAGGGCCTGACAACACTCTCAGTGAAGAAATCGTGATAAGACACAGTAAGACTTGTGCTCCAGACCCTTCCCCAGCTCCATTGCCCTTGTCTGGACACCCTCCAGCCCCTCAATGTCCTCCTCACAGTGAGAGGCTCAAACCCCAGATATCCCATTGGCCGCAAACCCAACAAGGAGGAAGATGGACCCTGTTCCTGTTCCAAATTTCAGCTGGAACCCATAGGAATAGACCTTCCAGAAGAGCCCCCCAGCTGAGGAATGCCCCCCCACCCCAGGCTCTCACCTCCACAGATACAGCTTTGTCTGCACTCTTCTTGCTGGGGGTCTCTGGCCCTGTCTGGGTCTTGGCAGGTACCATCTCCGGAGCTCGGGAAGAGTTATTGCTCTTGGAAGGGTGGGTCTGGGTCTGGGGGGGGCTGTGCCCAAAGCTGGGCATGCCCAGGGTCTCGGTGGCAGCCCTGAGGTGGTGGAGGCTCACTGGGGGGCTGGTGGGCATCTCCAGATCCAGCCCTTTGCTGAAGTCTGTCTCAGGGGCCACCTTCTTGGGGGACTGGCTGAGGTTGCTGGGGGAGCTCCACACGCCCTCGTCCACTTGCCTGCCAGGGACAGAGCAAAGGTGCTGGGTGGCTGCAAGGACTGGGGGGAAGGGACCTTAAAGCTCATTTAGTCCCAACCCCCCTGCATGGGCTGGGACACCTCCCACCAGCCCAGGCTGCTCCAAGCCCCACCCAACCTGCCCTTCAACACTGCCAGGGATGGGGCAGCCACAGCTTCCCTGGGCAACCTGGGCCAGGCTCTCACCACCCTCACACCAAAGAATTTCCTCCTCATGTCTCACCTAAATTTCCCTCTACCAGCTTGAAACTGTTCCCCCTTGTCCCAGGTTCCCTGATGTGTAGAAGGGGTTGGAGTTGATGCTACAGCCTCTCTTGGGGAGCACACAAACAAGCTCCTCTACCTCACTGTCCATTTTTATGAACCTTGCAGGAAATTGTATCTCTCTGAATCCTGCCCTGTCAGATCTGTCTGAAAATGCCCTTTGGATCCGAAGTGATTAGGACTGGGAATGACAGGGAGGCAGATTCAGAGGCTGCCTGATCACCCGAGCTTGTTTCTGCAGCAAAGCAGGGCAGCAATGAGCCTGAGGCAAGGCTGGTGCTGGAGCCTGGCTGAGCCAGAAGCCACCCCAAAAGGTGTGGTGATGGGAGGAGGCAGGTGGGCTCAGCCCCACGCACGAGCCTTGTATCTGGAAGATGATTTTTCCCCAGCAGAACATTTTTGTGCTCCTCAGGAAAGAGATTTCCCAAAACACTCTCTGGCTGGCTGTAGGAGGACACTTTTTTTCCAGGTGATCAGGAAAAGCCAGTTTAGAAAGATGGGTTCCCACATGGACACTGGAGACGACTGAGGGTAATTTTTAGTTCCTTAGCAGAGAAATGAGCCTTTTTTTTATTTTCTACAGCCCTTGGGCTTTGCATCCATAATGCACAGAGGGCATCAGCACAGACGTGACGGGCACAGGGACAGCTGAAGGGACCAGCTGTGCCCTCCAAGGTTCTCATAAGGGGCAGAAGATGCGACTACGTGGGGGGCAGCCAGGGTGAGCTCTGGGGGGGCTGTGGGGCCGGGGTGGGGGGCTCACCTGCGGATCTGGGCCAGGGTGTCTGTCACTGTCTTGCAGCGCTTGAGCAGCCCGTCCAGGCGGTTCGGCTCCTCCTTGAGGAACTTGACGGCTTCCACCTCCACCCGCAGCACCACCCGCATCTTGCTCTGCAGGCTGGGGAACTGGGCTGATGGGGGGAGAGCTGGGGGTCACCAGGGGAACCCCCCTCCTGGTGCCTGCCTGCCCCCGTGGGAGGGATGGAGCAGGGAGGTGCAGGTGAGCACCAGTGTGCAAACCCAGAGGGAGCAGGAAACCTGGAGCATCCCACGAGTGTGAGGATGGAGAGGGGAGATGCAGGCAGGCTCCACTTGCCACCCAACCCCAGAACCAGCCATCTCCTCACCCTTGAGGTCTGTCAACGTCTCCCCCAGCTGCTTGAGGACCACGGCCTTCTCCTCCAGCTCCTGCACTGGGATGAGCCGGTGGTTGTGGGTCAAATCCTTCTGGATCTTCTCCACAGACTTCTCCAGGTCACTGTGAGCAGAGGCAGGACAGAGGTGACACTGCTGCTCCACAACCAGCCTGGCAGGTCCCCACACAGCAGAGGGGAGAGGACAACTGGGCTGGGGACCCCTTCTTATAGTCACAGAGTGGTGAGAGTGGGAAGGAACTTCTGAAGCTCCAACCTCCCTGGCTAGAGCAGGATCACACAGGAACGTGTCCAGATGGGTTTGGAATGTCTCCAGAGAGGGACACCTCTCTGGGCAGCCTCACACCCACAGTAAAGCACTTTTCCCCCTTTGTTTTCCCCTTCACGCTGGACACACGGTGGGGGGTGGGACCCGGCACCGCGAGGAACTGCGACCCCCACCCCTGGGGGCCGTGACCCGCGGAGATGGGC